CATGGGGGGGCGGGTGTGGGGGATGGGGAACAAGGGAGGCAGGAGGCGGGGACATGGCTAAAGGGAAATAGCCAGGATGTCCCTCTTCCGTGCCTCTCCCTCTGCTTATCCGGGGCGGCACCCAGAGGCCACCCGGCCCAAGGAATAACGAGAACTGGGATTAGCAGCCTCTGGCTCTGATGACAGAGTCATGCACCTTCTCTTTTACACAGCTGAGCCTCCCCTGTTATAGTCCAACAACTGGCCTCTCAGAAAACCCCTTGTCAATCCCCAGCAGCCTCTTTCCCCCACCATTCTAGCTCCCCAGTAGCCATGCCCACCCCACCACCACGGCTGGGTAAGGGTAGAAGGTGCCAGGCCAAGGATGGGACTGGGGATGATTCTAGAGGGAGGAATGGAGGCGTTCAGTTGAAGTTGTGTTTATTAATTCATAGGCTTGGGTTTGCCCCACCTCTTTCCGCCCCAAGGCCCAGGTGAGAAGACATGTGTCCCCTCCCTACTCACCGGCCCCTGCTCTGCATGCCACCAAGGCCTCTTTCTCTCAACCCCGTCCGTACCCATCCCAAGCCCCATTTAAACCCCTTTTCCTCATCTTAGCCCAAGAAGAAGCCGAATGCACCCTCTGACCTGGCCACACCCAAGATCGTGCCTTTTGACCTTCTGCCTGAGACTGAGCCCTTTGACCCGAAGCCTGAGGCAGTGCCTGAGCCCCCACCTTTTGACCAGATGCCTAGGACACTGCCCTATTACCCAGAGCTGGGGCCCCTGCCCACCCCAGAGGAGCCGACAGCCGGTGGGAACATTTAGGGTCCCCTGGGTCCCATGGGGCTGTGGATGTGGAGTGTCACTCTGATCCACCATCAGCCCGCTGCTTGGTGGTGGTCAGTGCCGGGACGGCCACCATCCCTCTGGTTGGGTGTGGGTATCGTGGAAACACTCTTGCGTTATGCACGGTTAAGGCAAAAGTGGTGTGTGCAGTGGGGAAAGGCCCTCCCTTACCTCTTAGTTTCTGTTTTAATAGTAGGTGCTCACAACGTCCTAGTGGAGCTGCACCCACAGGCTGCACTGCATGAAACTGCGCATGGCTGCTAGTTCTTCCCTTCCCCTGCCTCCACGTCCTGGGGGACAAGCCAGCTTGGCTCCAGGCCTCCTTGGAGAGGGCCCTCATGAAGCCTGGGGTCTGTTCTGTGCCCTCTCTGCCCCCTCCCTGTAGCCGAGGAAAACATTTACACTTATTTTTTCCAGTTCTTTTAGAAAATGTTTCGCAAAGAGATCCCTTATGTTTGCCAGAGCCTGCCCTGGGCAGGGCACCCAAAAGCTGCCAACTCAGAGAGGCCAGAAAAGGGGACATTTTAGCTGGCTCTGGCTTGGATCCTTGGGTCTCACTATAGCATAGTGTTTCTCAACATTTTTTTCCACGCTCATCCCCCTAAGAAGCCTTTTTAGATATTTTTAACCTAATTGTCCACCTCTCCCATGAAATTTTAGTACAGCAGACATATTGTGTATCTGTTTATGTGCTGTGGCTCTTTGGAGCACCGTGAACCATTGTGATATCAATTTTTGCCCTTATGAAGGCAATATCACCCCAGTCAAGAATGCATGTTATAGGAGAAGGGAAGGACCCTTCTGCCTTTGGTGTCTGTCATCTCCTTGTCATGGCAACCTAAAGTGGAGGCCCTGAGTTTTTAAGACTTTTCTCACCTTCACCTCTCTCCCTTCTGCATCCTTTTCTAACAGACTCTCTAAGCAGACCCTGGGCTCTGAGATACCTCTCCAATGTCTTCTCTGGTCGTTCCCAGGCAGTGGTTGGGGACAGTGCTTATTAGCTCTAAGTCAGGAGAGGCTCCTACTCAGATCCACGTGGCACCTGTCCCTTCTCCCGAACAAATGTGAAGTGCCTGGCCATGGGCCGGGTGCATAGTAGGTGCTCAGTTAAATTATAATCTTATTTAAAAAATCTCCCTAAGCCAGAAGATCTTAAGTTTAGACAGCAGAGTTGGGGGGTGGAGTGGGTGGTGGGGCTCCTCTGAGTCCATCTAGGTCTAGGGCCTTCCTGGGGTGGGGGTTGTGTGTGCTTGGTAAGGGGCAGGGCGAGCTGTGCATGTTTTTGTTCAGACCTGGTCATTAAAGGTAACTCTGGAAACCAAGCCTGTTGGGAGTGGTAGTTTTGTTTAATAAAAAACGGGAAAGCAGAACAAACAGCCCTCCGTCTCTGCCATCCCCTGAGGCCCCTCCTTTGGCTTAGGAGGTCTGCCAGAGAAGTAGGGGTGGGACAAACGTGCTTGGCCTGTGTGCCCAGGGTGGGGGGAGGTGCTTTTGGATCATGTTGGTGGTTGTAGCAACAGGCAGACTGGGTGGGTCCAAGACAGCACTCCAAGAGCATGAGTCATGGGGGAAACCTGGCTTGGAAAGGAGGAGAAAAGAGATCTCCATTAACGGAGGGAAAAGGCTAATGGTAGTATATATACCCTCTCCAGAGCCTGCCTCCGGGACATTGTCTGGGGATTCAGGTCAGGTGTTTCTTCTCCTATCCCCTGACCTTCCACCAGGAAGGCAGCTCCTCTGGTATAAGCCATCACTCTAGGGGAAGCCTACAATGAATGGGGTTATGTCCAGGTACCTTTCTGGTCTGGGGAGACTCTCCCAAATCCAGGAATAAACCTCCCTTCATTGGGATTCCTCCCTGATGTTGCAGCTTAAGACCTTTCCTCAGGCATTAGGAAGATGGGATTGGCTACAAGCAGGACATCTGCAGCTCTCTCTGCGGCTCTCTCCCCAGCCCCACGTTCACTTCTAAGCTCAGCTGCCAAAGACCTTTATCTAGGAAGCCAGATGCCAGAAAAAACAGCTAGCTCAGCCTTTAGGGGTAGGGGTAGAGCAGGGGTGGGTGGGTAGAGAATGGAGGATGCTGGGGATAGGGCAGGGAGACAATGTGGATTTGTTTTCCAGCAGCTGGGGCTGTTTCCTGACTATTCCCTGCCTGTCAGCCTTAATCCCTCCCTAGCCCATGCACATTGTCTGAGCTTAGTGAAAGGAGGGGCTCTCCTCCACCCTTTGGTGGAGTGTGGGTGGGTTTTTGGTTTGGGAGGCTATGAAGGCAAGATCAGAACTGAATTTTTTTTTTTATACTGGGGCTGCAGGTAAATTCTGGGTGGAGATAGATGAAGAAGTAGTGGAGAGTTTAGAACCTAGAGATCCTAAAATATGTAAGTCAGCTCCAGTAGCAGGCAGGGAGAGGGTGATTGCAGGAGACCCAAAGGGTATGCCTGGAAATTGGAGGGACTGCTAAGAGAGGGTGGGACCCTCCTACACGCAGAACAAGAAAAACACCCTTCAATGCCTTGGTGAATGATAAGAGGCAGAGGGATGAACAGAATGCCCTAAGATGTCCATGATACCACTAAACCACCCATGGCAGGTGGGGACTACAAGTCCCAGCATGCCCTGTGCCCAAGTCACCTTGCCTGCTGGGAGGTGTAGTAGGGTAATAGAGAGCTGGAGGTGGCTTGCTGCCCAGCAGAGCTGGTGCCCAATTGGGAGAAGAGGTGGAGCCACATTCTTTCTTTGTCCCTGCTAATGCTATTGACAGGGAGGGAAGGAAGTTGGGAGCGGGTGTTCCTAGTTTTCAGTGTAAACCAGGAAACTCTGGGGGGATGTGGATGGGAGGGAAGAGGAAAGAGGCTGGGGGTTGGGGAGGGAATTTCTGTAGCAGGTGGTGCAGAGATACTGAGTGGCCTATGTATAGGGGTGTGTGCGTATTTGTATTTCTGTGTGTGCGTGTCTATGAGAGAGATTAGTTAATGTCTCATTTTCTCAGGAGATGGGATTTTCTTAAAATTCTGGGAAAGGATCTTCAGAAAACCCCTTTGAAAAACTACTCTCTCTGATTCTGAAGTCCCTAAAGAGAGGCTGGGCCAAGGAGGAGATCCTGTTGACATTTTGGGTTATGCCCCTTTGTCTTAGCCTCCCCTACCTTCTGATGAGGTGGGGTGGGGGAGGGGGTGATCTTGAGATTCTGAAATGTTGGTCCAGAGTCAAGACCTTGGAATATCTTCCCAGAATGGAAAACAGTGCTGGAGCTAGGTCCTCTAAGGGGAAGACGGAGACGTGAAGAGGTGGCTGTGAGCTCCAGGATCATTGGGAATCTGGGACCACCTTCCTATTCCTGGACCCTTGACCTCGGGCCTGGGAAAAAAAACAAGAATAGAAAAGTAATCCCTCATTTCTATTCCAAGGCACGGAAGTCAGAACCAGAAGAAATGTCCAGACTGGGGAGAAAACGTCGTTGGCTTCTAGCCAGCTTCTTCCTCTTTCCTACATCAATTTCTACATGGGGTGGGGGTGGTGACCACAGTGGGGTCAAACAGCATGAGGAGGTCAAGCAACAACAGGGGTGGGGCATGAGCCACAGCTCTCCTTCTCTGAGGCTGGTTCTTAAATGGCTTGAGTCTGGAAAACGCACCCCCTTTTCTTTACCTTCAAGCCACTCTACTTGGCGGCCTCCTGACATTGGCTGTGCGCTCACATCCTACCCCTACTCAACCTACACGCACTCCCGCCGCTTGCTTTTTGGCCTGGCTCCGGCAGTGTGCGACTTAGGGCACCAGAGGGCGCTCCGCCCACTTCCAAGGTTAAGCCGTGTTCCCCGAGGCCGCGGCGGTCTAACACGATCTGAGGGGTGGGTAGAGAGCGCGAGGACATGGTTGCAGGGCTGCAGATATTTAGCCAAAGCTCCATTATAATGTAGGCCCATCTCCGACCCAAAACTCGGTTCCCTCCCCGCGCCGTCGGTACCGTCATTCAACACACGCTTATCCAGCGCCCACGACGTGCCCAGCTCTGTGCCAGGCGCTGGGGATACAACGGCAAACAAGTCAGGCCGATTTCACGGGTCCCCGCTCCCCTCCCCACGATCGCCAGCACCCCGACTTGGGGTCGCCCGGCGTCCCCCACGTCCCTCCCGTGCCCCCTCTCACGTCCGCTCTTGTCTCGCTTAGGACGAAGTGAAGCTGCCGGCCAAACTGAGCGTCAGCAAGTCGCTGAAGGAGGCGGAGGCGCTGCCCGAGAAGGAGGGCGACGAGCTGGGCGAGGGCGAGCGGCCGGAGGAGGACGCGGCGGCGCTCGAGCTGTCGTCCGACGAGGCGGTGGAGGTGGAGGAGGTCATCGAGGAGTCGCGCGCCGAGCGCATCAAGCGCAGCGGCCTGCGGCGCGTGGACGACTTTAAGAAGGCCTTCTCCAAGGAGAAGATGGAGAAGACCCGCGTGCGCACGCGCGAGAACCTGGAGAAGACCCGCCTCAAGACCAAGGAGAACCTGGAGAAGACGCGGCACACCCTGGAGAAGCGCATGAACAAGCTGGGCACGCGCCTGGTCCCCGCCGAGCGGCGCGAGAAGCTCAAGACGTCGCGCGACAAGCTGCGCAAGTCCTTCACGCCCGACCACGTGGTCTACGCGCGCTCCAAGACGGCGGTGTACAAGGTGCCGCCCTTCACCTTCCACGTCAAGAAGATCCGCGAGGGCGAGGTGGAGGTGCTGAAGGCCACCGAGATGGTGGAGGTGGGCGCCGACGACGACGAGGGCGCCGAGCGCGGCGAGGCCGCCGACCTGCTGCGCGGGAGCAGCCCCGACGTGCACACGCTGCTGGAGATCACCGAGGAGTCGGACGCCGTGCTGGTGGACAAGAGCGACAGCGACTGAGCAGGACGCGGGCCCTGCCTCTCCCCGTCCCCACCCTGTTCCTTTCCCTTTCTGAACTTTCTCTTTCGCATTCTCTCTCAGCCCCCAGCTGGCTGAGATGTTTCTAGATTTAAACCACCTGCCTTCAAGGAGCACTCCTCCGAGCCTTGCAGCTGTTAAGCCGGGAGAGGGAGGCAGCCCCCACAGTGGAGAGCCCCAGTTTGGACGTAGTACGGGTGGAAATGGGAAGGGGAGTGATCCACGTCCCGGTTGTCCTGAAGGAAACTGCTGTGATTCCACAGTCGGCCCCCCTTTCGGGGCTTCCTTCCCCTCAGTTTCCCCCCCACTCACTCCCTGCTCACGGAGCTCTTCCCTTCCTTTTCATCCTGACCCCTGGGGCTTCAAAACCAAAATTACCCAAAGAGGAAAGAGTGAATCCTACTAGAAGGACATGAAAGCAGCTTTGGGGGGAAACTGAGGCAGTGGGGCAGAGGGCAGAGTGAGCCCTCAGCCCAGATGAGGGTCCAGCGCAGGCTCTGTCTGCAAAGGGTCCCAACCAGAAAGGCTGGAGCCGAGAGGAGCCCCGGGGAAGGACGGGATGGGGAACACAGGGAGCACATTCTATGGCTTTGGGAAAGAGAATGGGCAAACAGGAGAAGGTGGAAATGGTGAAGAGAGAAAGAAATTTCATTAGCAGCACGAGAAACCCGTCTTACCAGGTTCTCAGAGGGCACCAGGACCATTTTCAGAAGCAGGAGGGAGAATAGTGTGAGAACGCGATGCTCCAAGGAGGAAAGAGAGGTAAGCCTAACCCGATCCCTCAACTGGGGTCTGGGTGGTGCCCCCCAGGGCAGCCTATTCCTTGAAGCCCAGAAAGTTAGGGTCCCAGAAGGAGGTAGCAGTTGGCTGGGAGCTAGGGGTCGGGCGTGCTCATGGCCAGGCCACCAAGCTGAGAGCTGGAGGGGAGGTGGGACAGCACTGGTTCCTCCAGGCTGTTTCTTCTCCAGATCCCTCCCTAGAGCTAGTGTCACAGAGCTGCAGAACTTGCTGAGATATCCACGGTTCCTTGTCCTTAGGGGTGCCTTTCCTGAGTCTTTGGGGGGTGAGGGGAGTGCTGCTTCCTGTCCAGAGGCCTGATGTCTGTTGGCCACTGACCAGGTTCTCCTCTGGACACTTCAGTCCCCCTGTTCCTCCCCATTAAAGGTAGTTTGTCAGAAACAAGGGCACCCTCTCCCTCCAAGTCACAGCTAAAGGGAGGGCTGGAGGGCTCCCTCCTTCTCCCCCCACCAATCTTCCTTGTTCAGCTTTTTAGAATTGCAGCTAATTGTTTTAAGGGGTGGGGGAGGGAGCCTGGGGACACAAACCTTTTATACAATACAAAGCTTTGCTTTTTTTTTTTTCTCCTTTCTTTTCCTTTTCTGGGTTCCCTTCTCTCCTCTGAATGGTTGGAGACATGTCAGTTGAGGGAGGATGGGGATTGTGGGACAAGGTCCCTTGGTGCTGATGGGCTGAAGGGGCCTGAGTTGTGGGCAGATGCAGTTTTCTGCGGGCTCTAGGGAACCTCTCCCGTTGCTGTGTCCTGGTGAGCAGCCTGACCAATAAACCTGCTTTTCTAAAAGGATCTGTGTTGGATCGTGTTCTCTGAAGGCAGTTACATAGGATGAGTTACAGAGGATAGGAGGAAGCCAGGGAGGGAAGGAGGGACAGAGAGAGAAAAAAAACCTGTTGGTATAAATTTGCTTTACTTGCTTGGAATGGGGGTGGAGAGGGAGAGAGGGAAATAAAAATAATAGCCAACTGATTGAGCCCTTACTCTTTGCCAGGAACTGTTCTGAGCACTTTGGTATGCAATTGCTTATTTAATCTCATAACAACCCCATAAGGCAGATTTTATCGTTATCTTCCTATTCTAGATAGGAGGAAAGAGAGTGACTTGTCTAAGGTCACAGGGCTGGTAAGCAGCGAGCTGGGATTCAAAGGCCCACAGCTTGGCTCCACAGTCTGTTTACTGCTTACAGTCTGTAACCTTGAACCCTCTGGATCCACTCCCCTGCAGTCGGCTTTAGCCTTTCGGACACACCCAGTTACTCTACTCAGCCTGAACTTTCTTTCAGAATCCCAGGCCTGGAGGAAGCGGCCTAGGGCAGGGGAAAATCAGAGGGCTGGATATCGTAGAGAAAGGGTACCAGCATATGGAACATGCCAGTTGTATCCATACAGTGTATTTCATTCTCCCTGAAACACTGTGATAGGCACTGCTATGGTTTGAATGTGTCCTCAAAGTTCATGTGTTGGAAACTTAATTCTCCAGTTCATATGTTGATGGTATTTGGAGGTAAGGCCTTTCAGAGGTAATTTGAATTAGAGAAAGTCATCAGGGTGAGGCCCCATGATGGGACTGGCAGCTTTATAAGAAGAGGAAGAGAGACCTGAGCCGCCGCCTCTTTCCTTCTCACTATGTGATGTCTTCCTTCATGTTGTGATGCAGCCAGAAGACCCTCACCAGGTGCTGGAACTAGGCTTTTGGACTTCCTGGCCTCCAGAACTGTAAGAAATAAACTTTTTAAAAAATAAATTATCCAGTCTATGGTATTCTGTTATAGCAACAGAAAAGAGACTAAAACAGGTGCCTATATTACTGTCTGTGTAGACTTTCTTCTCCATGAGCAGCCTGCCCCACCTGCCCATAGGTTATGGATTTCCTAGAGCAATGAACTTGCATCATCATGACGGTTCTGCTTGCATCAGAATCATAGGACAAAGGGTGTCCCTAATAAAAGTAATGCCATTTCTAGGGCTCCACCCCAGCCTCCTGCCTTCCTAAGCCAACCCCTTCCCCACCTCTACCGTAGTCATATTTTTTTTTTTTTTTTTTGAGACAGAGTCTCACTCTGTTGCCCTGGCTAGAGTGAGTGCCGTGGCGTCAGCCTAGCTCACAGCAACCTCAAACTCCTGGGCCCAAGCGATCCTTCTGTCTCAGCCGCCTGAGTAGCTGGGACTACAGGCATGCGCCACCACACCCAGCTAATTTTTTCTATATATTTTTAGTTGTCCAGATAATTTATTTCTATTTTTAGTAGAGACGGGGTCTCGCTCTTGCTCAGGCTGGTCTCGAACTCCTGAGCTCAAACAATCCTCCTGCCTCGGCCTCCCAGAGTCCTAGGATTACAGGCGTGAGCCACCACGCCCGGCCTACCGTAGTCATATTAATCATCCTCTTTTCAGAACTCTCATAGAACTTTATGTGAGTAAACACTTGTTAGGCTGGGTGCAATGGCTCATATCTGTAATCCTAACAATTTGGGAGGCCTAGGTGGGAGGATTGCTTGAGGCCAGGAGTTCAAGACCAGCCTTAGCAAGAGTGAGACCCTGTCTCTACAAAAAACAGAAAAATTAGCCGGGCGTGGTGGCCTGTGCCTGTAGCCCCAGCTACTCGGGAGACTGAGGCAGGAGGATCACTTGAGCCCAGGAATTTGAGGTTGCAGTGAGCTCTGATGATGCCACTGCACTCTAGCCTGGGCAACAGCCCTGTCTCAAAAGCAAAACAACCAAACAAAAACTCCCAAAACCTGTTCAATGAATGAATGAATGAATTACAGGACTCTTTCCATTACAAGTGTCAAAAACACCTCAGACTGGCTTCAGTAAAAACAAACAAAACACCAAAGCTGAAAACAAACAAAACACCAAAGCTGAAAACAAACCCCGAGGCAATTGATGTAATTGAAAAAGTCCCCAGAAATAGGTCCAGGGTGGCTGATGTAATTAACACTAGGTCTGATATGATTGCGTTAGGAATCTCTCTCTTCTTACCTTCTCTTTTCCTCTGTGTCTGTTTCACTAATAATAGGATTGTTCCCATATGGTGGCAAAGATGACCAAAAACAGCTGCAGGCTTATGGCCTAACAGGTGAGCAACCCCAGTGAAGAGAGTTTCTTTCCAGATCCTTCCAGCCAGAATCTCAGATATGATACCCATTGGTCCTGATAAGTCATATATCCAAATCACTATGTCTCTGACCAAATATAGACCATGTGATCACTTGCAGAACTCACCTGAAATGTGGAATTAAGAGTTGTATTAGTTAGAGTTCTTCAGAGAGACAGAACCAATAGGATGCATGGATGGATAGATACATAAATACATAGATACATAGGTGAGAGGGGCTTTTTTAGGGGCATTGGCTCATTTGATTATGGAGGCTGAGAAGTCCCAGGACAAACCATCTCCAAGCTGGAGTCCCTGGGATACCAGTAGCATGGCTCAGTCAAAGTCTGAAGGCCTCAGAAATAGGGAAGCCAATGGTATAACTTTCAGTCCAAGACCAAAGGGCCAAGAACCTGGAGTTCTCATGTCCAAGGCAGAAGAGGTGTGTATCTCAGTCCTGGAGAGAGAGACCAAGTTACCCTTTTCGCTGTTTTTGTTCTATCTTGGTCCAGCTGATTGGATGGTGCCCGCCCACATTGAGGGCAGGTTAGTCCACTCAGACTTACATGCTAATCTCCTCTGGAAACACTCTCACTCTAGGTATTCCTTATTCCAGTCGAGTTGACACCTAAAATTCCATCACAAGAGAGAAGGAGGGCTCTTTTCCCAAAGGAAAATTGGGTTGAAGTTATCCATAGAAAACGGAGAGAAAGAAGGACAGACAAAACAACAGATGTTCTTTCCAAATGAATAGTCTGTGATTCTGTGCTGAGAGACAAAAGACAGCAAGATCCAGTCTTTGATTTTAAAGGGTTTATAATTAGTGGGAGAGGCAGATATTCAAAATAGCTCAAAGAGATGCCACTGTACTCTAGCCAGGGCGACAGAGTAAGACCCTGTCACCAAAAAATAAAAAATAAAAAAACAAAATAGTTCAAAGAGATGACTTCTGTAACAGGTAAAGCACAGTGCAATGGCCATATGCAGGAGAGGGGTTACTCCTGCTTGGGGACTATGGGACAACTTAAGGGAGGGAGGGGGCTTTGAAGTTGCGATTCTAAACAT